TCTCTATTGCATATGAGGTGTACTTTTGCTTTTAGTTACTTTAGGTACTTTTAGGTACTGAAAAAGATCCCTTTCTGTTTATATGTAATAGAAATTTTTTTTACATGTGTAAGTTTTGTACTTTGTCAAAGGCTTTTTTCACATCTATTGAGATAATCGTGTGGGTTGAGGCAGTTTGTTTTTCAATTTATTATGTTGATTTTCATCCTGATGTTGAACCATCCTTACCTTGGATGAACTACTGTGGTCTGACAAGATTTTACTTTAAAAATTTTAAATGATATTCATTAATGATTGGTCTATAGTTCTCCTTTGCTTTATCCTGCCTTGATTTATTTATCGGGACTGTATTTGTCTCATAAAAGGTATCTCATAGAGTGCTTTCTTTCTCAATTTTGGGAATAATTTTGGTAGTAATAGTACTAACTGTTTTTGAAAAGTTTTGTAGAATTCTCCTGTAAACCCATCAGGACCAGGAGTTTTTTCTTTGATAGGTCCTTTATAGGTAGTTCTGTTTCAGTTACTGAGAGTGAATTATTTAACATCTCTATTTATTTTTCTGTTGGTTTAGGTATTTTACATTTTTGAAGGCATTTCTTTATTTGTAGTCTTAGTATTCTCAATATACTGTGCATAGTATATTTGATAATTATTTTATTGTGATTTCACTTGTTCATTAGCTATTTTGTTGATGTTCTACCTTAAAGCAGTGTGATTGTTTATCAGTTGTCTCTTGGATTTTGTTATTATTATATAGAAATACGTTTGATTTGGGAGGGAGTGTTATTTTGTAGCCTGCAACTTTGCTGAAGCTATTAATCATCTCATTTGGTATCTTTGCTGACTCTCTAGGAATTTTTAAGCAAATCATCATGTCATCAGTAAATAAGGATAGTTTTATATCCTTGTCTGTCTTTATGCCTGCAATTTTTTCTCATCTTATTGCCATTGCTAGCATTCCTAGAACTATATAAAATAATAGCAATGAGAGTGGACGTCCTTGCTTTTACTTCTTTATTTGTTGGGAAAATTTAAATGATACCAAAACATGTCAAACTACTTTGTAAAGCAGCAGAAATAAAAACAAAAAGTTTTGGTATTGATTAAAAAAATAGAGAAGTAGAATAATGAAACACATGAGCAAAGAGAAAACCAGAAAAAATAGGACTCAGCTGAATGTTCTATAAACATGCCTTACATGGGAAAGAACTCCCTATGTAATAAAACAGTTGGAAAACTATAAAGCATTTTGACAGAAATTAGGCTGAGATCACAGTCTTACATCATATTCCACAGTAAATTCAAAATGGGTGTGACCGGAATATTATATATCACACTAGGCAAAAATTAGAAGAGAAACAGATCATGTACTTTTCATACCTGTGAGTAGGAGATGTATTCTTAATCATATAAGATATAGAGGCACTTACAGAAAGATAAAGTTTGTTATCCAGGTATCCAAGATATATAGACAGCGTGTGTGTGTGTGTAAGTAAAATCAAAAGCTGTTCCCCAATATATGTGGTCAAAGAATATGAACCAATAGTTCTCAAAAGAATTACAAGCTATTAACAACTACAGAAAGAATGCTCCATATAATAACGAAAGAAATGTAACGTTTAAAACCCTTGAGGTTTTGCCTCACACTAAGACAGTTGATAAAGATGGTGAAAGATAGGAATAGTTGAAATTGGAGGAGTTGTGTGAAGATAGGCACACTAATTTATTGTTGTCGTAGATCTGTGAATCAGCACAATTAGTATAACCATTTGGGAAAATAATTTGGGCTTTTTCTAGTAAAGTGACTAAAATCTTCAGATTTTTTAACCCAAAGTTTCCACTATTAAGCATATACCTCAGAGAGGTCATTGATAAGCAGAAAATGCCTACATACATCAAAATATCAATAGCAGCACTTTCAGTGGTAGCAAAGAACTGGAAATAAAGTAAATGCCTATCAAATGGGAAATGGCTACACAAACTAGGGTACATAAATGTAATGGAAAATACTGTATCATAAGAAATGACAAATATATTGGATACAGAGGAGCATGAAAAAATGTGAACTGATGCAGAGTAAAGTAAGCTTTGCCAAGAAAACAACATACACAACCACCACAACAGTGTAAATGAGAAGGAACAATAACCATAAAACAATCAAAAGTGAAAGTTATAAAATTATATATAACATACATGGTCCCAAGAAGAGATATGAATAATTACCCTTATCCCACTCCTTCGCAGAGCTGGGAGCTCCATAAGTGTGGAAGTTTGCTTATGTTTTTGGACTTATTCCAATATATTGATTGGTTTTGCTGATATCTTTACTTTCTCTTTATTTTTTTCTTTAAGATATTCTATTATAATATGGGGTGGCTTTCTGTGAGAGGAGAAAGGAAAGATATTGGGACAGTTTTTGGCAATGTGAAAACAAGATATCAATAAAATTTTATCTAAAAAAGTCAAAAGGTGGGGAAAATAGAAGAAAATGTAAGATATCTTGCAGTATAAGGATCAGACCTGAAAAAAATAAAGTTGAGATGAGATCATTTAAGAATTATTGGACTACCTGAAACCTATGACAAAAAAAAGAAAAGCCTCAACATCATATTTCAAGAAACCACAAAAGAAAACAACCATAGGCTTTTAAAACCAAAGGCAAAGTGAAAATGGAATCCACTAATCACCTCCTGAAAGAAATCCCTAAATAAAAACTTCCAGAAATGTTATAGCCAAAATCCACAGCTCCAAGTCAAAGAAAAAAAAAAATTAAGCATCAAGAAAGAAAGAATTCAAGTACAGAGGAGCCGCAGTCAGGACCACAAGTCAGGACCACACAAGATTTAGCAGCCACCACTTAAAGGATTGAGGAACTTGGAAGATATTCTAAAAGGCAGAAAGAAAGAAAGAAAGGTTGAAAGAAAGAAAGAAAAGTCTTACAATAGAGAATAACTTAAACAGCAAAACTCAGTAAAATTTTACTGGGGGATGGGGGTAGGGGAGGGTGGGGTGGGGCAAGTGGACTTTTAATGAACTAGAAGACTTCCAAGTATTCTTGATGAAAAAAAAAACCCAGAACTGAGTAGAAACTTTGAAATTCAGACACAGGAGTCAAGAGAAACATAAAAAGGTAAATAAAAGCAAGCAATCAGAATGCATTATACAAAAGTGAAGTTTTTACATTATAATAGAGGAAGATGATATAAATATCATCAGAGGTAATAGAAGAAACCAAAGAAGACAGAGGGCCTGGGAGTCACATTTTATTTTGGTGTTTTTTAAGAAGAGAGGAAAGATGTTGGGGGGAGGGAAAGGAGGAGGCAGAGTGGGAAATGTTTGAACCTCATTTTAATTTGTACTGGTCAAAGTATGAAAGAACACACACACAAAGTTGGGTGCAGAAATACATTTCATTCAATAGGGAAACCAGGAGAGAGGGGAAGGAAGAAGGAGAATAAGAAAGGTGTTAGATTTGGTTATAGATTATTCATAACCAAAATACTTTAACCTCAGAGAATGAATCACAAGAAGGATTTACAAAGAAAAAAAAAGAAAAGATAAGAATCTGGGCAAATGAAAGAGAAGAAAGGAAGTGAGCAGAAGTGATTCTGTTGGGCATAGAGCATTGGCTCTGAGCATACTTTGTAAAGAGGAAATAGGAAGAAAATAGGAAAAAATAGAAGAGAATAAGATAGAGGGATATATACAGTTAATGATCATGCCTATCAATGTGAAAGGGATTAATTCATTCATAAGATAGAAGATTGTCAAGTGGTTTAAAAAGCAGAATTCAATCATAGATTAGTTACAGAAAACATACTTAAAACACAAAAAAAGGACACAGTTAAAATAAGGGATTAGAACAAAATTATTATTCAATTGAAGTAAAATAAGCCAGTGGTAATAATCATGTTTTGCACAAGACTATAGCAAAAATAGATTTAACCTAAAAGAGATAAAGGGAAACTGAATTTTGCTAAAAAGTGACATAGAAGATAAATTAATTTCAGTCCTTAATATGTAAACTTTTAATGGCATTGTGTCTAAATATTTAAAGGGAGAAATAGATTGCAAAGCTATAATCATTGGATGCCTCAGTGTATCCCTTTTTAGAACTAGACAAATCTGAACAACAAAAAAAACCAACCCAGAAAGGATTTAAGGACCTGAGCAGAATTTTAGAAAAGTTAAATATGCTAGTCCTCTAGCCATAATTGAATGGGAATAATGGGAGTATAAATGCTACTCATGCCACAAAGGGCATCATATTATTAGCAATGGTTCGGGATCTGGGCCCCACTGAAGCTAGAGAAATGCAGTAACTCCTGATTACTGGGCTGGAGAGAGGAGCCCTATAGGAGGCCCATAGGGTTGGGTCCTGATTCCACAGTTTCCGCAGTCCAGGCTGTTCTTCACATATCTTCCCTTTTCTCCATCCTTTATCCTTAAATTATTATGTTAAGTCTCGTAACAGAGTAGGGATGTCATCCTAATCTATTTTTATGAAAACCTCACATTCCATTTTTCTAGATTAAAGGTATCAAACTTTGGGTTGCAAGTGGCTACAGAATTTCTGAATGCAGCCCAACTCAGATTAAAATGTAATTGGAAAATGTTCAACAAAATAAATAAAAGTATAATACAACACCTGTTATTTTTGTGGTTTATGATATGTGTTGAATACAGAGGGCAAGACGAAACCATATATATATATATATATATATATTATATATGGTTTGTCTTGCCTTCTGTGTTCAACATATACACATTCATCTATCCCTTTCCCACTTCTTCAGATGCTTCCTTACACCCCCCACCCACCCCCTGCTTTGTCCCTGAACATTATCTTTCTGGAGCATCAGGACATATTTAAGAATGCTCAGCATTATGTTCATTCTGTCTCTTGGCACCATTTTCAATTGCATTCTACCATCTTAATTTTTTTTTATTCCTAGTTCAGAGAATGAGGGAATTCACCATTTTTCCTTAATCTCTTTCAGACATGGAAGCTATGACTGAGACCCCAGAGGCAATCCTAAAAGAGAACTTTCCAGGAGAACAGTCATTACAAGGGGTAAAAGTAGAAAAACTCAGAGGGGGCAAATGGTGCCACTCCACTTTGGGGAACTGTAGGGAAAGTGAAAGCCATAAAAAGAGGCAGCAGGCAAAACAGGAGAGTGATGTGAGAAAAATTATGAAATGTCAGAAGATTCACACTGGAGACAAAAGTTATAAATATTGTAATGAATGTGGGCAAGGATTTACTCACAATTCAAGCCTTATTGTACACCAGAGAATTCATACTGGAGAGAAGCCTTATAAGTGCAATGAATGTGGAAAAGCATTTACCCGCACCTCAATCCTTACAGTACATCAAAGGATTCATACTGGAGAGAAGCCTTATAAATGCAGTGAATGTGGGAAAACTTTCATTCAGAGCTCAAACCTTATTTTACACCAGAGGATTCATACTGGAGAGAAGCCTTATAAATGTAATGATTGTGGGAAGTCCTTCATTCAGAGTTCAGACCTTATTGTACACCAGAATGTTAATACCGAGGAGAAGCCTTATAAATGCAATGAATGTGGGAAATCCTTCATTCTGAGTTCAACTCTTATTGTTCATCAGAGGAGTCATACTGGAGAGAAGCCTTTCACATGTAATGAATGTGGGAAAACATTCATTCAGAGATCAGACCTTGTTAAGCACCAGAGGATTCATACTGGAGAGAAGCCTTATAAATGCAGTGAATGTGGGAAAGCCTTCATTGAAAGTTCTACTCTTATTGTACATCAGAGGATTCACACTGGAGAGAAGCCTTATACATGTATTGAGTGTGGGAAAACATTCAGTCGAAACTCCTACCTGCATCAACATCAGAGGATACATACTGGAGAGAAGCCTTTTAAATGTAATGAATGTGGGAAAGCCTTCACTCGAAATTCGAGCCTTATTCTACACCAGAAGATTCATACTGGAGAAAAGCCCTAAAATAGAATGAATGTAGGAAGCTCTTCATTCAGAATTCAGCTGTTATTGAACATCAGATGTTTCATAGAAGAGATAGAAGCCTTATAAATATAATGAATGTGGGAATGCCTTCATTCAAAGGTCAGATCTCATTAAGCACCAGAGGAGTCATATTGGAAAGAAGCCTTATAAATCCAACAAGTGTGGAAATTCCTTCATTGAGAACTTCAAACTCGTACATCAAAACATAACAAATGTAATGACTGTGGCAAGACATTTCCTAGCTGTTGACATTTTTTTTTCTGCATTAGAGAATTCACGATGGAGAGAAATCCTTATTGTATGTGAGCTGAGGCATATTAGAGTATAGTCTCACAAGTGTAAATAATTTGGGAAAACATTCACTCAGAGTTCAGTGCTTATTATACTTCTGAGCATTCCTATTGGAAAGAATACTCATAAATACAAAGAATGCGAAAAACAATTTACTGAGAACTCAGCCTTTATTAGACATAAGAAGATTCATATTGGATAGAATCTTATAAATACAATTTATGTGGGAAAGCCTCATTTGGCATTAACCATTAGAAGATTCCTACTAGAAAATCACTTTATAAATGTATGAAATATAGGAAAGTGTTTAGTAATTTCTCATGCTTTATTCATTAGCTGTTGATTCATAAGGGAATGTGACTTACAAAATCATTTACAGAGGGCTGATTATATGCCAAGCACACTGCTAAATGCAGGGTATACAGATAGAAAATGAAGCCAGTCACTGCTCAAGGAGCTTGAAGCTTCTTTGGGGAAAACAATCCACATAGAAGCATTAAGATTCAAGGAGGCTGGAAAGGCCCAGAGGTCCTCACTGTTCAGCTGTAGGGTCAACATCGAAGCCAAATATTTTCTATCATGCATTTGGGTGTCTTCCCCACAGAGACTTCCTATCATCAGTAGGAATGGGGTTTGGAGATGATAAATGACCAGTGAATGCATCTATGATAAGAGAAGTAGTTGAATGAGGAAAATATCTTTGGATCAAGTTTCTCAAAGAAGAATTTGGTATCTTAGACATGGAGAGAACTTCTCTATGGGTTATTTTCCCCCAAATAAGTTTCATGCTCTTTGAGCAGAAACTGGCTTCTTTTTCTATCTGTATCCCCAGCACTTAGCACCGTGCTTGGCACATAATCAGCCCTCTGTAAATGATTATATTGTGTGAATACACACAAACACACATACATACACACACACACACAGAGCATTCCAAAAGTTTTAGTGCGGTTTTAAGCTATTGAAGCCATTTTCCCAGTACAATTATAATGCAACATTGTTTTTTGTTTCTTGACCATTTCTATAACTTTTTCATTTAATGATGGAATTCAAACCATTAACATTTATTGTTTTAATCAATAAATTCAGTTTGACTTCTGACATTTTCTTATTGACCAGCAAGTGAAATTTATCTTAATTGTCTATATTCATGTACTCTGTAATTTGGTTGTCTGATCAAAATATTTTATCATTCTGTTTTTGTCTCTGCCTGATGACCCCGTAGATCTTACTCTTCATTCTGACAGTGACCTTCAGTCCCTTCACCTCTCTGTTCATCTACAAGCACTCATGCTTGCATCACACACACTCCTTTACCTTCTCTTCCCAGTCTCAACCCCTTGGGGAACCTCTTCAGTTCCCCATAATCCTCTTCTCTTGAATCTGAGGACAGTCACAGTATGTCAAAGCCTAACCTTATTGCTCCCATCATGTAACTCCTTTATTCTTACTGGTATGCTTCTGAAGAGAGCTGAAGAAAGTCAGGACACTATAGTAATTAGATTCATTACAAATTTAGGCTGTTTCTTTTCAGTTGGGAATTTAGTGCAGCAAGGCAGTCCTTCTGTTCCTCCATAGGAGGCCATAGGAGCAGATCTGGTGCCTCAGTTCAAGACTGGAACAAAACGAAATGCTAATGGAAATTCTGACAGGTAATAAAAGGAAATTCACTTATGTAACGCGGTTTTACTCCCCTCCCTAAGCCCACCCAGGTTTCTCTGATGCCTTAAGGGATTTGCAGAGATTGCTTCTCTACCATTGGATTGAGACCCCACTAATTGTATTCTGACCTTTTTTAGAGGGTCAGTGGCTAGCACTCCAGCTCCATTTAGTAACTTACATCAAATCAGTTTTTACAAAGGTCTATTTACTTCAAAGATGTGGCAAGAACAAACAAACACTGTACCATCTCAGTCAGAAAAGGGGATTTAGGCTCACTGCTTAACTCACACTGTAGCAGTAATCCTATTGAGGCCAAGTCCCAATGTTCTGGGATCTTGGCTTCTCAGAGTTTCCCTCCTGGACTGACTGCAACATTTGTTCTGGCATCCTAACTTCCAAAATCTCTGTGGATTGAACTCCTGAGTCAGAGACGTCCCTCTATGGACCTGGAACTGAAAAGAACGAACAAACCAAACCAAGACCCTCTCCTGTTTTTTGGGACCACGTGACTTAAAGTGGGGGTGGAGGGGTGGGGTTCAGACCTTCCCCTTTACCATTGATGTCGCCTGTGTTGTGAGTGACTGAATCCTCTCCCGAGAGAGAGCCTGTATAGTAAGTTGTTTGAGAGACTCAGTTCTGGTCTCCCTTCAGCCCACGTGGTTGGCCAGTGCCGAATGTCCACATGTGCACCAGTTCTCCTGACTTTCAGAAGCGGGTACCCAAGGTTTCCCATGTGTATGCCTCCATCTTAGGTGATCTGGGCATGTTTAATAAGCCCCTATACACAGCCACAACAAAGGAAAAGTACTCCAATACAGGGAGGACAACAGATGAATCCCACTAAGTGCAGCCCCTTTCTGCTGCCCGTGCTAGTAGGCAAGCAGAATCTCAGAAAAGCCGTTCATGGCTTAGCAGGCTCGGGATATTAGTTGGACGTTTCACTCAGCCCTGACGCCCCTTTCAGGTTAAGTGTATTAGAGCGACTTTGGCACAAAGTCAGCTAAATGGTTGAAGGACTTATCATGCCCCCTGAGACTTGTGTCAAACCAGCAGTCTTATTCAGATTCCTGTATTCAAGCATCTAGGTGCTTAGGGTGGAAGCTTCCAAAGCCCTACGAAGCAGTTGCTGGGGTGGTAGTGGTAGGAGTGCAAGGAGACTAGCGAGCCTCAGTCTTCACCTGGAATTAAGTGACGCCCACCCAGCTCAAGCCCTCGTCGCTTTCTTCCTGATCTTATGGGAATAGCTTCTTTTTTACACTATCTTTTTTTTTTAACGAATAAAAATCACATTTCCCGACCCATTGAAAAAATAATTGTAACAAATATACATAGTCAAGCAAAACAAATGACTGCATTGGCTATGTCTAGTGTGATATGTGGATGTCTCATTCTGAGCCCTGAATTCATCCCCACTCTGTCGGGAGGTGGGTAGCATATTTCATCAGGAGCCCTCTGGAATAGTTGATCATTGTGCTAATCTGAGTTCTTAAGTCTTTTAAAATTGTTTGTCTTTACAATAAAATACAAAATTGTTCTAGTTCTGCTCGCTTTAGTCCACATAAGTTGATAAAAATCTTCCCAAGTTTCTCTGAAACCACTCCCTTCATCATTTCTTAGAGCCAGGAATATGCTGGCCAGTGTTTTAACAACTGGTTGTCAGAAAAATATGCAGGTTGATAACGCTTTTAAGGTTAATCTGCACGATTGCCATTTTTCTCTGTCATTTAAGTCTAGACAGCCCACAAATCGGTTCTGATTTGTAACATTTGCTGATTTCTGAGGGGTAAATGCTCACACTGAAATCTTAACGATCAGCTTTGGAGAGCCAATTCGAGCTAGCTCTCGCCCACCCTTACAGCAGCACAGTAGCACTCCATGACATCCAGATACCACGAGTTGTTCAGCCGTTTCCCAATTGGTGAACACACCTTTAGTTTCCACTTCTTTGCCACCACCAAAAGAGCTGCTATAAATACTTTTTTTTTGTATATATGGTTCCTTTTCTTCTTGGTGTAGACCTAGTATTACTAGATCCAAAGGTTATGAACGGTTTATTTGGGGGGCGTAGTTCCAAAATGCTTTGCAGAATAGCTGGACTAGTTAACAGCTCCATCCACCAACAATTCATTTATGTACTATTTGTCATTTTCCTTTTTTGTCAACTTTGCCAGAAAAAGTGGGGGATGAGGTGGAACCTCACTTGCTTTAGTTTTCATTTCTCTAATTAGTAATTTAGAGGATTTTTTTTTTGTGAGGCTATCCGGATCTTGGATTCTTTTCCTCTGAAAACGGCCTGTTCATATCAGGTAACTTGCTTCTGCTCCCATGCTTTCCTTCCCTTTGCATTGCTTAGAGCCCAATTACAGGTCCTTAATTCGCCCACCCCCACCCCTCTTCATAATCCAATTTCTATGCTTATACTTTGTTTAACTTAGAACTAATCTTTCCCCTAATCTACCCTCCCTTTTGTTTTCTCTTCTCACTTCTCCCCTTTCCCTACTGTTTTTGTGTCTGTGTGTGTGAGTGAGAGAGAGAGAGACAGAGGGAGTAATCTCTCTTTTGATCAATTTAGATGAAAGTGTGGTTCAAGTGTTACTCACTCCTTTTTCCTTGTATGTATAGTCATCTACTCGAATACCCCAATGATGTGAAATAATTTCCCCGACTTTCTCTCCTTTTCCCTAGTGTATTCCTTCCCTCCTGCCTTTCCTTTCTTCTTTTTAAGATTATCAAAACATAAAAAGCCCACTATCAGGTCCTCTTAGATTCCCTGATGATTATAGTGTTGTGAGGGGACACACGTATCACCTCCCTCTATTAGAATGTAAATGGTTTTTTCCTGCTTCCTCTTTTATGGTTTTTTGCTGCTATTTGCCTTTGTATGTTTCTATTGACTTCTGTGCATTTCAGTTTCTACTCAGCTCCATTGTTTTCACGAAGAATGCTTGGAAGTCCTCTATTTCTTTAAAAGCCCATTCTTCTCTCCCCCCATGAGATTATACTGTTCTGATGGATGCTATTCTTAGTTGAAAAACTATGTCTTTTGCCTTCTGGAATTTATCATGTTATACATTCTTCGTTTCTTTAAAGCTCTACGTGATCCTGTGAGCTTTGTCCATGGGGTTTTCTGGCAAAGATATTGGAATTGTTTTGCCATTTCTTTCTCCAGTGTTGCCATTTTACAGATGAGTAAGCTGAGGCAAACAGTTGAGTGGCTTGCCTAGGGTCACAGCCAGATTTGAACTCATGAAGATGAGTCTTACTGACTCCGGATTTGGCACTCTATCCAGTGTGCCACTTAGCTGCTCATCTTTTGTTGTTTAGTCATTTTTCAGTCTTGTTTGACTCTTCATGACCCCATTTGGAGTTTTCTTGACAAAGATGCTGGATGGTTTGCTCTTTCCTTCTCCGGCTCATTTTACAGATGAGGAAACTGAGGCAGACAGGGTTAATTGACTTGCCCAGGGTTACACAGCTAGTAAGTGTCTGAGGCTGGATCTGAACCCGGGTCTTCCGGACTCCAGGTTCAGAATTCTATCTGCCGCAGGATAAGGACAACGTGGGATGTAGAGAAAGGGAGAAAGCATTCACAGAGATTGGCCCCTCTGTGTTTAACAGTAAACTATGAAGCCAGCCTGAAATGGCAGGGTTACACGTGGGAGGGCAAAGTTCCTCATTGTAAAAGTGAGATATTTGCAGTACTTCTGTCACAGTTGTTTCGTGAGCGTCCCGTGAGATACAGTCAGAGAAGGGCTTTTAGGAGCTCCGTGAAATGCGTCCATCCTCACTGCCGAGCCTGCTGGGCGTTCTCCAGTGGCTGAACATCAGCGCTGATCCAGAGGTTCTGGGTGACTTTATAGCTCATTCTTCTCCCCCATGCTTTCAGGTTCTCAGGCAGTCAATAAATAGTAAACATTTTGGGAGCAGTCAGGTGGCACAGTGGAGTGGACAGAGTGCTAGACTCAGCTAGCTTTCTAGCTGGGTGACCCTAGCAGCTGATTCTACTTCTGTCTGCCTCAGTTTCCTCATCTGTAAAATGGGGATAATAATAGCACCAATTTCCCAGGGCTGTTGTGAGGATAAAATGAGGTATTTGTAAAGTACTTTGCACAGTGCCTGGTACATAGTAGGTGCTTAATAAATGCCTGTTTCCTTCTTTCCCTTATATCCATTCCCAATTCTCTCCTCCTTTACTCCAGTGTCCACTGAGTTACTGGTCTTTTTTCTTGCCAAGGCCACCTCCTCCCCACCCCCACACCCTCTGATGAATCTCATCTTTCCAGGCCTTTTCCAGGACGTTGGCCCCCTTTCACGGCTAAACCACAAGCTATCTATATTCAGCGACTTAACTTCCTCTCCTCTTAGTCTCTTATGTTTATGCTTCAAATTAGACACACCACCTAAGTAAAGCTGCAGATATATCTTGTCCTCACTGCGGTGGGGGTTGAACCAACATATCCCCCAGTGTAAGGGTCTCACACCTTTCTCCTAGTCATGTGAGGCCCGCCCCTCATTGTTCTTTGGGTTTGGTTCACTTACTCCAGCTTACCCTCATACCACCAAGGGAGAGACCACAGCATAGAGTTCCATTCAAACTCAGCTTCTCAGGTGTAAACCCTGTTGAGATGAAATACATTTTTTCTAGACTCCAGCTAGTATATCTTTTATCCCTATAATCAGCCACTGGCAATAAAGGCGTTTTCGTATCTTAATTATAACAATATTAACAGCAGCAACACAAAAGAAATGACAATATATAAATACTTATGTTAAAACAAATGCATACACAAAGCCCATCAGAATACACATAGAAGCTCAGATTACAGCCTCCCAGCTATGCACTCGGTATCTGTGGTGAAGAGTGATCACACAAGAACCTGGCAGTGAAGCACAGGAGGGAGGAAAACTCCTGTGTTTATGGTAACTCACAACTCTGGTCCGAAGGTGTCAGTGTTATTGGTACATCCGGGATCTTAACCCCACAAAACTGCATCTGTGCTTACTGCTTACCTGTTGATCCTTCCACTCCTAGTTAGGAAAATTCTCCTCTTTTAAGTTGAACGTTATTTTTACAAACTCTTTCAATTATCCGTCACCCTTAAACAGGTTTTTTTAAAAAGTCTTAGTCCTTTTTTTTTAAAAGGAATTTTTATTGATTCTTGCATGAACCTGTTATCAGAATCAAAAATTAAAAGCTGTATTTCTGGATTTACATTGTCATTCTAGAATCAACATTTTAAAATATAGGAACATACATAGGAATAAAATATAGGAAAATTATGTAATGTGCCAAATGACTACATCAGTTGAGTGCTTTGCCAATACATACACATCATTGGTATTCCTGCATAACAATTTTATTCATCCTAAAGCAGATATAAAATATTGATAGACTTTAGTAAACCTGCTATGCATTTTGGGGTATAAAGTTATTAATGTTTATAAATTGCAAAGTGTTGGAAATAATAGCATTTGTGTAGCACTTTAAGGTTTTCGAAGTGTTTTATAAATATCTTATTGTAGCCTTATGACCACCCTGGGAGGGAGGTGCTGTTATGATCCCTATTTTACAGATGAGGAAACTAAGGCAGAGGTTCTATTGAGGGAACACAGCTAGGAAGTATCTGAGGCTAGATTTGAACTCAGGTCTTCCTGACTTCCTAACAGGGAGTCCAGCACCCTGCCCACTCTGCTACCAAGTGGCAATAGGCCTGCTCTTCCAAAATCACCAAAAATTACAAATAGTTCTTGCTTTACGTAAGTGGACCCGTCTGCAGATGCCTGCAAAAAGTAATTTTTTACATAATGCTGTTTTGCCTTTGAATGTGAGGGAGGAAAGAAGCAGAAAGGGGACAGCCAGTGGAGGGAAGAGGCTGGCCTGGTTTCAGGACACATTGGGCCCAGGACCAGAGGAGCATATGTGGGGGCCAGGGCTAGCCTCGTGGTGGCCTGGCCAGAACACACAAGGGTGGCAGACACATAGGGCCTCGACATAGATACGGACAGAAGAGGATGAGTAGTAGGCTGGGGCTGGGGAAAGACATAGTACACAAGTGTAGACAGATAGAGGAAAGACACACAGCGGCCAGAAAGGCCAGAAGGTGTCTGAAGCCAAGCCTTGATCCTGCTATGGGGTTTCAGAGAGAGAGAGTGTGGTTGGGGGTGGGTGGGAGGTTGCTGAGTACCAATCAGAGGGGCAGGAGGAGGGTGGGGAAGGAGGGAGAGAGAGACAGAGAGAGTGCGCCAGTGCATAGTAATTGTATAGTAAAATTAACCTAGGGTTTTTTTGGAATGTGTTTTTCCTTCAGAATTCAAATTTGTGTAATGTGAATTGACATAAAGCCAGAATTATCTGTACTAATGCCTGGTAGTCTTTTAGCTGAAGTTTTGTACCTCATCTTTAAGAAAAATGTTATTGCATAAAGATGAGTTCTCAAACATTCTGAACTTGGATCTAATATACATAATTTTCCAGGAACAAATGATATATTTTTTAGTCAAAGTTTATTAATTGTATAAACTTAGCTTTTCTTACTGAAGTCATCACTGAGAAACAAACCCAAACAGAAGCAGTCATTATTTGATTGAAACAGAACCACGATCAATGCCACTTTAGCTTTTCTACAGTTCAGAACTTGCTCCAAGTAGAGGCAGTAGAGCAGGAACAGAAACAACTATCACAATAATAATAATGATCCTAATGACGAGAGAACCATACCAAAAGTCAGAGGACTTATCTTGGTTTGGATGGATATCTTGGTCTGACCACTAACTTGGCTATGTACAACCTTTTAAAATCACTTCTCCACTTTTATTCTTAGTTATGTAATATTTTTTAAAATAATCTTTATATAGTCTGGTTTTTTTACATTCCAAAATGCCTCCAATTACAGTTCAGTGTGCCCCCCTCCAGCTAATGTTATCATTGACTGCTTTGAGAAGAGCAAAACTTTCTTCTAGGTGTAGGGTGATGGTCCCAATGAACTCTGCCTTTATCACAGTTCATCTGGATAAACAAAAAAGAAGAGGAAAACCAGTGAAGTTGATCAGTACTTTGTAAAAAGTTTGAACATGTGTGTCGTGCACCACACCTACAGAGCTACTAAACTGAATCGTGTTTGTTTCTTTGTAATTTTGCAGGATTCACTTTTGGTTATTTTGTGGTTCTTTCCATTTTATATCATAGTCAAAATTGTGAAAATGTCAACTCTTAAGGTGAATGGCAGTCTTCTTTGAACTTCAGAATACAGAATGTTCCTTATGTGGCTCTCCCTGGTCCAATCAGAATGGAGTTTACAGGGACACGTTCAGGTTGACTCTGCTCACCCAGGGTACCCAAAGCTGCTGCAAACTCTCTGCTTTTCCTTCTCACACCAGAGGTGGCAACAGAGAATGGCAATCCTTCTTGAACTCTAGCTGGCGGCAAAGAGCCATCATTTTCATTGGCGCCATTGGTCAGTGAAGTCAAATTGCAACCAATCAGGAGCCTGAAGCGTCTATTAACTGACTGATCTTACGTCCCAGCTCAGAGACTGCAGCTTTCCAGTATGGCACCCTACCCTATTTCATGTTCCTGTACCTAGTTCTGCAGGTTCCTCCAACGTCAGTAACTTAAATGAAAGCATCCTGCCTTAAAAAGCCATAGTTCTCCAGATTTCCCCATCATATAGTCCTTTTTAAAAAAAAAACAAAACAAAACATACCTAAGGCTCCAAATGTTTGTATGATTTCTCATATTTTTTTAAATTTACTCTTCCTTATCATAAAATATGTGCAAATTAGCTGATGTACCATAATGTTTTTCAGGTCTGAAGTGTACAACAAACATGGTAGTCCATTTCTTTGCTAGATATCCTTGAAACCCTTTCTTTACTCTTAATGTCACTATTTTAAAAATTAAGTTGAAGATCTTTTTTTTTTTAATAACATTAAATGGTTCCCAAAGAAACAAGAAGTAACTTTGTCATTCACAAAGAGATTTCAGATGTTATGATTTACAACAAAGATCTTTTTCCACTCTGAAACTGTTCAAATCCCACCTAAGATTTTATGGGATGAAGTCGCAAATCATTTGAGCAACCTTATTCAAAAGAAACAGTGCAATTAAACAGATATTTGTGTGGGAAACTTTGTATGATAAGAGATTTACTCAAGTGGCATTGTGGTAAGTTGGATTGAGAGCTGTTCTAGAAGAGAGAACATGGATTCAAGTTCTGTCTCGCACAAAGTTTCTGTGAGGCCCTGCCCAAGTCATTTAATAGCTTCATGCTGAAGGCAGCAGTCTTCAAAACTACTAGTTGCAAAGAAGGTACTGATTTGTGTTGATAGAGGGGAATTCTCTTCTCTGGAAATCCCCTATGTCAAACAAGTCTCAGGTCCAGTCCTTAACCCTGTACTCATGAAAGAAGTAACTCAGTAATTCAAGGGGGAAGACATGAAGAAATGTGTATGAAGGTCAAAGGAGGGAGAAATGAAGAATATTTTGTCATTGGAGTATATTACAGATTATATTGTATTACAGATTACCTGGACAGAGAGATGAGCAATTTGGGAAAGAGATGACAAGCCAGGTCCAGAGTCATGACATGGTAGGGATAGTGCTTTTCATTTTTGTGGATATCTGCTGGAGCTCTCTCTGCCAGATCCCACATAGCTGGACTTTCTTGTGATCATTTTCCTCCTTCAAAAAGCTGAGAAACCAACAAAAGGAAATTCAGTGCAGGAATAGATAGTCAATAATAATAATAATAGCTAACTTTTATATACTGCTTGCCATGGGCTCGGCATTGTAATAACAAGGAGGAATTAATTGGTTGCTGAGATGGAAATATTGGAAGCTCTCAAGGCAAGTGAACGTTGCTTTATTTACTTTGTGGTAGAGGAAAGGAAATGCATCCCAGAGTTTTGGAACCTACTGTGTGCCAGGCACTATGCTAAGCATCTCTTATAATTATCACATTTGATCCTCACAACAACCCTTTGAGGTGACTTCTATTTATTATTCCCATTTTATAACTGAGGAAACTGAGGCAAACAATTTAATTGACTTGCCCAGGGTCACAGAGCTAGCAAGTATCTGAGGCCAGATTTAAACTCAGGTCTCCCTGGTTCCAAACTCAGATCTCTCCACTTCTGTCACCAGAGCTATGCCAGCTATGACCCAGAAAGATCCTGATAGAGTAGCATTGTGTTGATACACTTGGTAGTGTAGTGCTGAATCTAATAAGGTGGAATTCAGTAAAGTTAAATGTAAATTATTTCATTTGTGAACAAAGAGACAACTTCACAAATAGAGGGTGCACAAGGCAGGGTTAGACAGCAGTTGTTTTGAAAACCATCTTGGAATTTTAGTGGACTCAATACAGTTTAGCAGTGCTGATGCCATCACAGGGTGCATTAAAAAGGGCAAAAGCTTAAACTAGGCATAGGGTGATGGTCCCAGTGTGCTCTGCCCTTTTCAGACTTCATCTGGATTTGTGTCCATTTTTGGGCATCACTGTTTAAGAAGGACATTAAAAAGCTGGAGCTTCTTTAGTGGAGAGCAGCCAGCACGGGGGAAGGTCTTGAGTCCATGTCATATGAGGATTAGTTAAAAGAATCAAGTAGGGATGTAATTGAAGAGAGAAAAATTAAGGGGAAGGAGGTATGGTAGCTGTCTTCAAGTATTTAAAATTTGTTTTGGAAGAAGGCATTAGATTTATTCTTTTGGCTTCAGGACAAGAAATAGCAGCAAAGGGTGGAAGTGGCAGGGAAGAAAATTTAGGCTTGATGTCAGGGGAAAAAAAATTTTAAAAATTAGATATGTCCAAGAATGGGATGGGATACCTGGAGAAATGGTGGCCATCCTTCAGTCAGAGACTGGATGACCACTTGTCAGCTATGTTACAGTGGAGTTTCCTGTTGGGTAGGAATTGAACTAACTGGATACTAAGGCTCTTTCCCCTTCTCAAATTGGATTTGCAATTCTGTCAGTCTGTGATTCTTCTAAACCCTCTGCAATATGGATTCATTACTCACCTGAAACTGCTTCTCCAAAGTTATCTCTTAATTACCAAGTCAAATGGGATTTTCTCACTCCTCATCTTTGATCTCTCTGCATCGCTTCATACTGCCTGACCATTTATGTTCCCTCCCTCTCCCCCCTCTTCTCTCTCAACCCTGCTGTGTATCTACCCTCTTTTTCCTTCCTCCTGTCTCTCTTTCTTCCCCCACTCTCTTTCCTTCCCTCCGCCTTCCTCCCTCCCCTTCTCTCCCTATTTTTCTCTCTGGGTTTTTGGTTCTCCCTTTTGGTACCAGATTCCTCCTGGGCTCTACTTCCATTCTTCTGTTCTCCTTTGGCTCCAAAAGATAAAAAAAAAAAAAATTGGAAGGCAGCTACAAAAAAGAGCACAAAGTAGGTTGTATTTGAAATATGTTGTATTTGAAATAGGGATGATAATAGTGACCCTCTTTACTGTACTCTCTGTGGAAAGTGCTTTGTAGCCCTAAAAGTAACATAGCTATTATGTGAGCTATTATTTCTTACTATATGAATCCAGACAAGACACTTAACCTCTCTCAACATGTGTAGAACAGGAATAAAAAGCACTGTTGTACTTTCATGATAGGGATGTTGTGATGATAAAGTAACATGATGTGTGGAAAGCATGTGGTAAAGATCAAAGACATGTTTATATATCATATATATTATTATGATTTATTGATCTGATGGGTCAAAACTGCAGAGAAGGAAACTAAGAGATATTTTAGTGTGATCCCCTTAATTCTGCAGTTGAAGAAACATACCGAGGACGATCATATGGTTTGTACAAGATAAAATACAGAGTAGGGCAGCTAGGTGGCACAGTAGACAGAGTGCCTGACCTGGAGTCAGGAAAACTTATCTTCCCAAGTTCATACCTGGCCTTGGACACTTACTAACTGGGCAAATCATTTAACCCTGTTTTGTCTCATTTTCCTCATCTGTCAAATGAGCTGGAGAAGGAAATGACAAACCACTCCAGTAACTTTGCCAGGAAAACCCCAAATGAAGTCACAAAGAGTTGGACACGACTGAAATGACTGAAATACAACAAAAATACAGAATAAATGATAGGACTGAGATTTGAACCCATGCCAAATCCAAGACCCTTTTTTTTTTTTTTTTTTTTTTGCTTAGGCAGTTGGGGTTAAGTGACTTGCCCAGGGTCGACCACACAGCTAGTAAGTGTCAAGTGTTTGGTCAGAGGCCGGGTTTGAACTTCAGGGCCGGTGCTCTCTCCACTGCGCCCCGTAGCTGTCCCCCTTTCTTTTTTTTTTAAGTAATGTTTTATTTTCTCCAATTACATGTAAAGACAGTTTTTAAGTTCATTTATTAAAATTTTTGAGTTCCAAATTTTCTCCATCCCTCACCTCCCTTCTCCCTGAGACAATAAGCCATTTAATATAGGTCATACATGTTTAATCATGCAAAACATATTACCATATTGATTATGTTGTGAAAGAAGACATAGACCCAAAGGAAGAAAAACCTCAAAAAAAAATACAGAAAGTGAAAAATAGTATGCTTTGATCTGCATTCAGATGCCATTAGTTCTTTCTCTGGAGTTGGATAGCATTTGTGTCATGAGTCCTTTGGAATTGTCTTGGATCGTTGTATTGCTGAGAAATAGCTAAGTCATTCACAGTTGATCATCGTACAGTATTGCTGTTACTGCATACAATAGTCTTCTGGTTCTGCTCACTTAGCTTTGCATCAGTTGATATGTCTTTCCAGGTTTTCTCTGAAATCCGCCTGGTCATCATTTTTTATAATACCATAGTATTCTTTCACAGTCATATACTACAACTTGTTCAGCTATTTCCCAATTGATGGACATCCCTTCAATTTCCAATTCTTTGTCGCTACAGAAAAGAGCTGCTGTGAATATTTTTGTACAGATAGGTGCTTTCCCCCCTTTTTTGATCTCTTTGGAATACAGACCTAATAGTGGTGTTGCTGGATCAAAGGGCATGCACAGTTTTATAGGCCTTTGGGTGTAGTTCCAAATTGCTCTCCAGAATGGTTGGATCAGTTCACAACTCCACCAACAGTGCATTAGTGTCCCAATTTTCCCACATTCCCTCCAACATTTATTATTTTCCTTTTCTGTTATATTAGCCAATCTGATTGGTATGAGGTGGTATCTCAGAGTTGTTTTAATGTGCATTTCTCTAATCAATAGTGATTTAGAGCATTTTTTTTCATATGACTATAGATAGCTTTGATTTCTTCATTTGAAAACTTCCTGTTCATATCCTTTGACCATTTATCAATTGTGGCATGACTTGTGATCTTGTACATTTGATTAATTTCTTTACTTATTTGAGAAATGAGGAAAAGCCCTTTCTGTTGCACAGAGTGGCCACTTAGTGATGTTAGTCTTTTAACTTTTTACTTTTCACTTTCACTTTTCACTTTGTGTCCTGTGTCCTGATTCCAGATACTTCTCCAGATCCCTGCTTTTTTCATATTTTCTTTTCTTTCCATTTCTTCTCTTAAACTATTTTGTTAAACCTTATTCATCAGAGGCTAGCCAGAGTGATCCTATCACAATCTGTTTCAGGAACATCCCACAATCAGTCTTCCTTGATTGTTCATCCTCATCCACGGTGCTCCTATTATGCATACATCAGTCTCCTTCCAAAATCTTTTGATGATTCCTCACTTTTCTTCCATCGTCCTTTCCTGCCATCTTCCCAGAGTGTCAGGCTGTATTTGAGAGTTCTCAAAACCATGTGCCTTCTCATCACTGGAAACCATTTTCAGTTGCATCACTTCATCCCCTTTCTCCCAGATTGGAGAACTGGAGAAATTCATGATTTATTAATCTCTTTCAGATTTGGAGACTAGCAATGAAACCACAGAGGTGACTCCAAATGAGAATATTCCAGAAGAACAATCATCCCAGGTTATGAAAATAAAAAGTCTCACAGGGGGCAGTCTTTGCTACTCCATATTTTCAGATTTGGGGAAACACGACAGCCAGAAAAGGAGGCAACAGGGAAGTGATTTGAGAAAAATGACTAAACATCATAAGAGTCATCCTAGAGAGAAATGTTATAAATGTAAGGAATGTGGAAAAGCTTTCAGACAATGCTCACACCTTACTGAACATGAAAAGATTCATTCTGGAGAGAAGCCTTATAAATGTAATGAATGTGGAAAAGCCTTCACTCACAACTCAAGCATTATACGGCACCAGAGGATCCATACAGGGGAGAAACCGTATAAATGTAATGTATGTGGGAAAGCCTTCATTCAGAAATCTGATCTTAATGTACATCAGATGATTCATACTGAAGAAAAGCCTTTTAAATGTAATGAATGTGGGAAAGCATTCAGTAAATCCTCTTACTTTATTCAACATCAGTTAATTCATACTGGAGAGAAACTTTATAAATGTCATGAATGTGGGAAAGAATTCACTCAGAATTCTGGTCTTATTCAACATCAGAAGAGTCATACCAGAGAGAAGCCTTATAAATGTAACGAATGTGGGAAAGCATTCTCTAATACCTCACGAGTTATTCAGCATCAGAGAATTCATACTAGAGAGAAGCCTTATAAATGCAAAGCATGTGGGAAGGCATTTACTCAGAATTCAACCCTTACTCAACACCAGAAGATTCATAATGGAGAGAAACCTTATAAATGTAATCATTGTGGTAAATCATTCACTCATATATCTGGCCTTATTCAACATCAGAGGATGCATACTGGAGAGAAGTCTTATAAATGTAATGAATGTGGAAAAGCATTCTTTAAAACCTCACATGTTACTCAACATCAGAGGATTCATACTGGAGAAAAACCTTATAAATGTAAAGAATGTGGGAAAGCCTTCATTCAGAATGGTAGCCTCATTCGACATCAGAGGATTCATACTGGAGAGAAGCCTTATAAATGTAATGAATGTGGGAAAGTTTTCTCTAATTCCTCACATGTTATTCAACACCGAAGGATTCATACTGGAGAGAAACCTTACAAATGTAAGGAATGTGGGAATGCTTTCACTCAGAAAGGTAGCCTCATTCGACATCAGAAGGTTCATGTTGGAGAGAAGCCTTAGAACAAATGTGACCAAGCATTCCTTGACTCATTGACAGATTATTTAGAACTGGAAGATTTGTACTGGCCAGTAGCCTTATAAATGCCATTAATGTGGAAAAACATTACCTCAGAGGTCAAGCCTTATTCTATTTGAGAGGATTCATACTGAAGCGAAGTCTTATAAGTGTAATAATACATGTGGCAAACGCTACAGTTGCAGCTCATTACTTATTGAACATCAGAAGATTTATAATGGAGAGAAGGCTTATAAATGTAATAAATGTGGGAAAAGCTTCAATTGCAGTTCATAACTTATTGAAATACAGTGATTCATGCGGTAGAGAAGTCTTTTAAATGTAATGAATCTTCAGTTGCAGCTCATAACTTTTTGAACCTCAGATGATTCATACCAGAGAAAGGAATGTTGGAAAGTCATCAGTCATTGCCCAGATCTTGTTAAGCACTGGAGGATTCTTATTGAAAAGAAGCCTTTTGGATGTATCAAAAGCCTTCTATTACATGTCGATTCTACGTAGCTGTTAGAGGATTCCTGTTGTAGAATAGCCTTAAAATTAAGTAAATATGGGAAGGCATTCAGTAAATCCTCACACTTTATTCAAAATCAGCTGATTAATCCTGGAAAGAAGTCTTAAACATGTAGAACAGCTTTCTATGGTAGTATGTAACTAATAAAACATCCCCAGGTTCAGTATTGTAGAGAATCGTAGACATGTAATAAATACCAGAAAACTTTCTCAGACGAAGTTTTACTCAGAATCACAGTAATAGGGAAAAAAGCCTCCCCACGTCTAATTTAGGTCAGAGGATCATGGAATTGGAGCTGGAAGGGACCTTGGAAGCCATCAAGCACACTTTTGCCAAGGAGGAAATTGAAGTTGATAGAGGTTAAGTGACTTTTGCAATGTTGCCTGGCTTGTAAATGTCTGAGGTGCGATTTGAATGCAGGTCTTCCTCGCTCCGGGTCCAGCACTCTACCCACTACCCTCCCTGGCTGCCCCAGGCACCTGTGTTTCCAGTAAACATGTTTCTTTGAGCAGCGTGATTATCTTGCTTTTTGTTACTTAAGCTGTTTTGTAATGTTTTTACATTTAATGCTACAATGCAAACCATTCATGTTTATTAATTTAATTAATAAATTTTTATTTGGCTTCTGATATTTTCTCAATGAGCATGTTTCCTGGAGAGTTAAATCAGTGTTCATCTTCTAGGTTCATGATATCCAAAATTCCTTTATTTAATCCTAATCTTTTATCATTCCATACCCATCCATCAGTGCTTGATGACTCCAAATCCTATAGTTCATCCTCACCCTGACCTTCCTTCTCTCCAGTAATCAGTCTTTTCGTAGTCTTATCATCCTTGTACTAGCTGTGTACACTCTCTTTCCTTATTGTTCTGGAAACCGTAGTGGGAACATTCTATTCTGCACGTTCATCAGTTCTTTAATTCCTTGCCCCTTTGTCTATTGCCAATTACACTTTGCCATGTCTTGGGTTACTCCCACCATCTGTGTCCTTCACTCCTCTCACATGGTACTGATCAGAGCTGGAAGAAGTCATGGAAACCGCGCTGATGGGTCCTCTACAAATTTATGTTATCTCACACAACTGGACTGGACCTTCACTGTAGCAGCGCAATCCTTCTACTCCTCTGGGATAGGCTGGAGCTGATCCAGGCTGACTGGCACCTTGTCATCAATATTGAAATGAAATGAAACCCTCAAAGAAGATGACATTTAATAAAGGCAGATTTACTTAGCTGAAGCAGGGCAAAGATATTCCAACAAGTATGTTTAGTCATCAACACTGTGTCGGACACTTTGTTGATTCAACTGAGCACAGCTTCCCTGCCCCACTTCAGACCTCAGGAACTGGCACTCCTTAAGGTTTTGTGCATTTAGGAAGCCAAGAACAGGGCCTGAGCCTTATTCACCTGTATAGTCAAGTTAATTAAGGACAATCTTAATACTTCTAAAGGAAAAGAAGTAGCTCAGCCCACATGGCAGAGTGTAGTGTTAGAAATGTATTTCACTCACCTCAGCTCACCCCTTGGTGCCAGGGTTTTCATGGTCTTCAAGAGCAGTTTCCAGCGCTTAAGTGGCTTTAGAGTTGTAGAAAACCCTAACTCTGGGATGTGATCAGCTTCCTAGAGATAGCACAGGTAGAGGAAAACTCAAAATAAAAAAACAAAAAGGCAAAAACCACCCCCTTTCCCCCAGCAATGAATTAATATGGGTGAACAGACCAGTATCACTTAGCATAGTGCCTGGCACACAGTAAGTCCTTAATAAAGGCTCTATTTATCATCAAGTGTACAGCCTGGAGACTAGAAGAATGTTGGCACTTTGGACAGCTGCAGATTCATCATAGGATTCACAGCCCCCCAGTATACCCAGGCCCCTTCATTTCAGCCTGACCTGAGAAATCACTGAGAAGGATTGAAGGGTCGTGAGAGGTGGATCTTCATCAGTGAAACTCTTCTCCAGAAAACCATAACCTCCACCTCATATCTTGCCTTCTTAGTACCCAGCAGCAGGACATGTCTTGATGTGTGTTTTCTCAGAAGCTACTCCTTCCCACTCCGCTGCTGTACCCATACTTTCCTTGGGTAGAAATATGAGTGTTCAGGAGTTTTAACAGAAACAAGAGATTTTTACCATGCCTGTTTAGTTTTGCCATGACATCATACCATTAACCAGCATCTTTTGCTGCTGGTACAGTATGTCTCCTAAGTTAGAGTTTATTTCTTTAGAATGGGCTTTACAGAGGGAAGGGATGGGGCGAGGAGGAGAGGGGGAAAGGAAGGGGAGGAAATAAGTATTCATTAAGTGCCTCTAATGTGGCAGACAATGTGCTATGGGCTTTATCTCATTTGATCGTGGGGAGTAGGTGTTATTATTATCTCCTCATTTTACAGTTGAAGAACTGAGGCAAACAGAGGTTAAATGACTTGTCCAAGGTCACAGAGCTAGTGAGCGTCCGAGACTAGGTTTGAACAGAAGTCTTCTTGACTCTGCCCAGTGCTCTATTCCCTGTGACACCTAGCAGCTTCTGTCTTTATAGGGAAGGGAATGAGCATTTTTATAATGACTACTATGTGCCAGGCACTGTGCTAAGTGCTGTTTGCCTTATGAAAACAATCTTAACTGGCATAATAACGTGTCAAGTTTAGGAATATGAGAGAGCCAGTTTGGGTAATGGGAACTCTTTAATAAGCCAGAACTAGGCTCTGGACAAATGTTATGTCAGAGCATTGGCTGAATTGTAAAATAATTTCTATTACGAATGACATGTCCTCTGCCAGTCAGTCACTAGGTACTATTGGAAGGAATGCAACACCTATTAGAGATTGTTGAGCTTTCTCTCTGGGTGTCCCTAGTGTTTGGTACATAGTAGGAACCTTAATAGAATAGTTACCTCAGAAACAATATTTTGTTTTTATTACTGAAACTTAAATATGTAATAAGAAAAGAAAAACATATTATAAACTTAAATTTTGAAACAAATACAAAATAATAAAAAAAGCCTGACATGTGCACAGCGGAATGTAAGAGAGGGTTCAAAATATATAGCAATAAATTTCCATTTCAAGAAAGCCTGTATAATAAATACTATGCATTGTGTTGAGAGCTGTCCATCATTTCTTTGTTTCCTTGCTAGTTTTCTTTTATTCTCTGATATGCACTTTTTACTTTGTTCTTCCCCCCCCCCCATCCTTACCCTCTCCCCCAGAAGGCTGCAATTAAGTGCGGAGACACACACACACAGGTATATATTATATATATAGATACACACATGCACATACATACATAGACATATACATTCCCTAACAAATTCTACTCCTGATCTTTGTTATTATGTTTGTGTGTATCTCTTATTTCTTACCTCTCCTAACTCCTCTACTTTACTTCTACCAGTTACCTTGCCCTGCTTTTACTTAACGTACCCCCTCGTCCCTCCTCTATCTACCCATTCCCATAAATCTAAACACCCTTCTATACCTCCCTTTGACATATTCCCTCACCCTCTTCTCTAAAGATCCCTCCCTTATCTTCTCCTCCCTCCCTATCCCCTTAATGTTTTATTTATTTTTTTTAATTTAGGAGACTTTTATACATATATTGGTATTGTTCCCTCTTAAACCTATTCCTGATGAAAGTGGGTTTCCAGAGCTAACAACCCTCCTCTCCCATCTGATTCCTCTCGGTCGACTCTTCCTCTGGCACCTCATTTGTATAAAATAATTACTCTTTTTAGCTGTTCCTAGATGGTTTTACTTTTTAAAGTCATATCATAGTCAGGTCTACCCCAATCTTTCTTACAAATTACCCAGTTACTAATAACAGTCTTAGACATAAGCTTTACATTTTACATACATTAAAGGTAAACAGTCTGTCCTTATTGAGTCCCTTGTAATTAGTCTTTGATGTGCACCTTATATTTTTCCTGGCTCTTATACATCAAATCTTCTGTTAAGCTCAGGTTGGTTTTTTTTGTTTGTTTTTTTAACAAGTCTTGAAAGTCTGACAGTTCATTAAATGTCCATTTTTTTTTCCACTCAGGATTATTCTTAACTTTTCTGGGTATAACATTTTGACTGGAACCCCAGTTCTTTTGCTCTTTGATATATAGTGTTCCAAGGCCTGTGGTCTTTTAGTGTCACTGCTGCTGGGTCTTGTGTGATTCTAATTGTGGTACCACCATATTTAAATTATTTTTCTCTTGTTGCTTGTAATATTTTATCCTTGAGCTGAGGTTTTTGAAATTTGACTATAATATTCCTATGGGTTTTCCTCATAGGCTCTCTTTCAGGTGGTGATCAGTGGGTTTTTTCTGTTTCTACTTCCCCCACCCCTTGTTCTAATGCTTCAGGACAATTTTCTTTAATTATTTCTTGTATTGTATCAAGATTCTTTTTTTTTTTAAATAATTGATGTATTTATTTTTAGTTGTCGACATTCACTTCCATAAGATTTTGAGTTTTAAATTTTCTCCTCCTTCCCCCCCTCCAAGATGGTGTGCAATGTGATATAGGCTCTACTACTTATACATTCATATTAAGCATATTTTCTGATTAGTCATGATGTAAAGAACAATTAGAACTAATGGGAGGAGCCACGAGAATGAAGCAATAAAACAAAACAGCAAAGGAAAAGGAGAGCAAATAGTATGCTTCCATCTGCATTCAAACTCCACAGTTCTTGTTCTGGATGTGGATAGCATTTTCCATTGTGAGTCTTTTGGAGTTGTCTTAGATCCTTGCATTGCTGAGAAGAGCTAAGTCTATCAAAGTCAGTCATCACACAGTGTGGCCTTTACTGTGTACAACTTTCTCCTGGTTCTGCTCACTTCACTCAGCAAGATTCTTTTTTTGACCGTAGCTTTCAGGTAGTCTGATTATTCTTATGTTTTCACTTCTTAATCTGTTCTCCAGATCAGTTGTTTTTCTTATGAGATGTTTCACATTCTCTTGTATTTTTTTACACTTTATATTTTATTATTTCTTGGTTTCTTATAACTTCACTGGCTTTCCCTTGCCCAATTCTGGTTTTTAAAGAGTCATTTTCCTCTTTAAGATTCTGGATCTCCTTTTCATAATCTTCTTGTTTTTTTGGATTGTTCTTTTTATGTATTTTAAAAAGTTTTTCCTCAATCTCTCTCATTTGATTTTTGAAGTCTTTTTAAAGTTCTTTGAATTCTTTTTGAGCAGGTGACCATTTGATGTTACTCTTTAGGGTAGAAGACGGTTTCTTTGCTTCAGTATCCTATGAAGACGAACCCGGTCTTCTCAATTCTCATGATAACTGTCTGTGATTGAATTCTTAATCCTTTGCCTGTGCATTTTTTTAATTTGTGGTAGCTTAGTTTTTACAATCATCT